AATATTTCTACGTTTCTAATACTCTTTTACTCAAGGAGCAATGTAATTACATGCAGGATGTGGAGATGATGACAACGATGATGAGTCCAATAAAAACACTGCTGATGATATGATGAAATGGATAGGGTGAAAATGTCCACGAAACTCACGGTCGCAATCGGTAAAAGAAGGCAACCAATCCCCTGTTGAATCGCAATGAATTTCAAAGCTATTTTTGGTGGCCAGGCAGATGATTCGGAAAGTGGTTCCGACGTCTCTCGACTTTTCGTCCCAGTTCGAACCGACTCCTAACTGCGGCAGCTTCGGGTCCTCGAGGCACTTCACCTTTTCTGATGGTGACGATGAACCAAATGACAAGGCTGATGTTACGGAAAATGGCTAACGTAGAACATTGCCTGAACTCACGGTCGCAGTTGAGGGGAGCAGGCAGGGACCAATTTCCCGTTGAATCGCAATAGGCTTTCTCACTGCGTTCGCCATTAAAGGAACAGTAGTATTGGAAGGCCGTCCCGACCTCTCTCGATTTCTCATCCCAGTCCCAATCGACATTCAACGCGGGTGGCATCGGGTCCGCAAGGCATTCTACCCAAATGCACATCTCCATTGCTTCCCATTCTCCAGTTTGGAGGCAGGACACGGTGAAATTCTTCCCGGAATACTCAAAATTCATTCCCCGAGGGCACGAATAGTTGACGTGGGTACCTATGACTCTAGACCCATTCCAAAATCTCTCACCTCCACCAGGAGGGTCAGGAGGATCAAGATTGCACGTGATCTCTTCGCACTTGTCATCCAGATGTTGCCAATCTCCACCTGGGGAGCACTCGCTTTGCAGCGTTGTGGCGTTGGACTTGGAGAAAACGTGGTTCTTGGGACAGAAATATTTTACTAGGGTGCCGACGGCCTTGGACGTCCCATCCCAGTCCCAATTGGATTTCTCTGGTGGAGTCGGAGGATCTTGGGGGCAGGAGGTCCAATGACATCCTTCGATCTTCTCCCAGTTTCCGGTGTACAAGCAAGAAATGCGGTTCTCCGTCGAATTATCTGGAAAGCTCTTGTATGCATCGCATTTGTATGTTAATTTCGACCCGACTGGGAAAGACGGTCTATTCGAGTAAATAGCCACGGCTCCCGTTACATTTGGGGGATTCTGTGGACAGAAAGCCCAATTACATCCATCCGTGATGTTTTCCCAATTTCCGGTTGATAGGCAAGTAATGCTTTTCTGTGTGGAATTATCAGGAAAGGCCTTGTTTGCGTTGCATTGGTATGTGACTTTGCCCTCGACACGGAAAGTTGTTCCACTCGCGGAAATAAGTGCGGCTCCCGTTACATTTGGGGGATTCTGTGGACAGAAGGCCCAATTGCATCCGTCCTTGATGTTTCCCCAATTTCCGATTGGCAGGCAAGTGATGTTTCTCTTCGTGGAATTATCAGGAAAGGCCTTGTTTGCGTTGCATTGGTATGTGACATTGTACCCGACACGAAAAGATGTTCCATTTGAGTAAATGGGCACGGCTCCCGTTACATTTGGAGGATTTCGTAGACAGAAGGCCCAATTGCATCCGTCCGTGATGCTTCCCCATTTTCCGCTTGGCAGGCAAGTGATGTTTCTCTTCGTGGAATTATCAGGAAAGGTCTTGTATCCATCGCATTGGTATGTGACATTGTACCCGACACGGAAAGATGTACCATTCGTGGAAATGAGTACAGCTCCCGTTACATTTGGGGGATTGCCGGAACAAATGGAAGGCACGCACTGCCAAGGCACAGGCTCCCAAGTCATATTCGCCTGGCACCGGCTCTGAATCTTGATGACGTCCAATCCATCCTCGCTTTTTTCATAGTTACGATTCTGGAGTTTAGATTCATTCACGGAGAATCGGTATCCAACAAAGCAGACGTAGGTGCTGTTATTTCCGATGAGCCTCTCTTTCTTGTCCCATACTAATTTCATTGATCCGGTTGCAGGTGGAGGGTCAGAAGGGCAATAGGAAGGTACGCAGCTTTCCACCTCCGACCAGTATCCTGTGGTCTTACAGATGGATTCCTTCGTGGCATTCGGGTCGCGAATGGAAGGGTAGGTGTAACCAGATTCACACCTGTAGGTGGCTGTGGCATTGAACAGCACGGAATTCTGCTCCCACGAGAGTAGGACCGCATGGTTCACCGATGGGGTTGGTTCATGGAAGCATTCGTAGAGGATGCACGTGATGTTGTTATACATCCACTGGTTGTCGATGCATTGGAACGTGGGGTTTTCAGGCAAATACATCGACACGCCGTCGATGCTGCTGATGTAGTGCTTAAAGCAGGAGTACGAGAGGGTATTTTCATAGATGATATCGGAGCAGAATGCGTTATCCAAGTGATTCGGGGGATCAGCGTTCTTACAGGCTGAAAGAAAGAGTTGCTTCATCTTAGCTCAAAATGGGCATTTTGATATTGAATTAGCATAATTCGGCACGAATTGGATTTTTCTTTTGACGTTAAATTCCTAATGAACGACACTTTTTTCTAACAAAAACTTCTTGTAGGAATTGGACAGAGAATGAGAGATAGTATAGAGTCGAGAAGAACGGAGAAGTTTCGTTACATCACATTCTACAATAGGAATAATCATGCAATAAAAGAAAAATTGCTAAATGAATGTTTTTTTTTTTAATTTCGACTAGGAATTTTTTATAGGTATATTTTCCCGACAACTAAATATATGAGAAAACCAAGGGTCTCCGGTAGAAGTACACGTACATATATGAATAAAATATGAATTCTCCTCAGGTGTTAATTCATACGCCGCATGCGCGTTTGTCCCTGCCCTGCAAGTTAAACTTAGGCTGTGTTCCATGTAAATATTGCAGTGGAACTGGAAGTACTGGCCAATTGCCATTTTGGGAGTGAAATCTGATCGATCTCAGACATTTCATGCCACTGAATATGCAAAAGGCAACTTTTATCACTAGCTGTTTGTGGATTCCCAGACACAAGGGCACGGTAAAAAAAAAAAAGCGTGACTAAAATGTCATGATAAGCCGTTTCAAAACGTTGCGGATTATTGCCGCTTGAACGCTGATCACTCTCCTGTCCATAATAAAGATAGATCCCCGACAGGAAGATGTTTGAGTAATGAAGTCATCCTCCGAGATGATTCTGCAACCGAATAACTTCATTTATTTTTAGGGCCTGATGAATTGTTAGCATGGTTCCCAAGGCTTCAAGCGGTTCTCGTTCAAGATGCTGTGAGGATAAGACCTTGGCGAGTTCAAAACCTTTTCAAAAGACTGTTTAAAGATTACCAACTTCAGCAAGGAATTCATCATCCCAAGGACAGATCCCCTGGGGATCAATCACCCGATGTGTAAGCCACACTTACAGTGATGGGAATCATGAAGACCAAGGATTAACGATTATTTCTGAGCATTCCAAAATGAACTGTACATGTAACGTTATTTTTTTATTTAAATAAATTGAACTCATCCCTTATTACATGTATGCTCGGGTTCTACCAATAAATTCTTCTGTACAACAATGTTTGGAAAACTCACCATCAATGCATGTGGTCATTGCGCGGATGTCATAACCAATATTGCCATAGCAACTGAAGTCTTGCCTCCTCGTCCTTGGGTCGGTTCCCTGCCACACTTGACCGCAGCGGCAGTAGACACCTACGGCTTCACCATATGCAGCGATGTTAGGTCGATGCCAGGAGTAATTCGTCATCGAAGGGAATTCCGGACAGCCTGAAGAACCCGATCGTCGAACATCACGTTAGGTTTTGGAAGAAGCAATAATTTAAAGTGAGACTTCACAACAGATTCTCTTTATCGTAATTATGATCGATCTATCATGTCTACTTCATGAAGGTGATACATCTCATATACTGTGCTCTTTTTTTTTGCAAAACTCGAGAATATTTGACGCCGTACATATTCGTCTGCGAAAATGTTTAGGGTTCAAGGGAGAAACTAGCATTGAAATACTTATTTAGATAATATTTTACCAAAAAAACCTTGAATGTCTCGACCTCACTGCAATCTTTCAATTCGCAAACGTTTCACGAGTGTTGATCGGGAGCCAATAAAATAGGGAAAAAAAGAGCTAAAATAATTTTCCCTTCCAATTTTTCCTATCCATGGCGCCCATTTTGAGAGTGCCAAAAAACAGAGGGAACCTAATCTTTTGATCCTATCATGACGAGGAACTTCACTCATTTACGTTCGTGTTAATCCTGAAGGATTAGTTGCAAAAATTGCATTAGCGTCGCGGGAATCTTCTCTTGGGAAGCACCGTCACCGTGACACACTTTCCCCAGGCGATATCGCCATCATAATTTAATTTTCGAGAAGACCAATGATATTCTTGAAAGTTAATACTTACATTATCAAGTGCAAAAGTACCTACAAAGGATCCGATAAATTTGCAACTGGCGACTTATGGCATCGGTAAGTGCATGTCAACAATGCATTCCTTGCAGAGAACGAAAGCAGTTTCAGTTCTTTCGCAGGAGTGCCTGCATCAGCATGAAAAGGGATAGAAGGGCGTGTGGCGTATCTTGATAGCACGCGTCCAACCAGCCGACCAGCTAGGTCATGCCATCGGTTAACAGTGCGGAATTTGCTCTTCCATTGCCAATGTCTACGTTTATAGTTTTTTTTTGCGAATTCCAATATCGGCTACTTCCAAGTGTGAGAGTCGTCGATTATAATAAAATGTTTTCTCAACCATATGCTCCTCATTTCCAAGCCCCATTCAGATATGGTCTATTGCAGACGCCTCTTCCCATGTGATATTTTCATGTGTGACAACATTTTTTACTTCAACATCAAGAGAATCAAGTGAGAGCCATGTGAGAATGTCCACTTCATGCTGCTACCCGATTTCTCTATTTAAAGGTTTATAGGATGTGGGATATGGCGAGAAATCTCCCTTCCACTGTCTTTTTATCAAGTTCAAGAATAATCAGGGCTTTTCAAGACCTGCTCCGAATTAAGTAAAACCAGTCAGCAAGCGTTAGAAGACACTCCTGATTTCACAATCTCCCTCGGCGCATCAGAGTAGAGGAATCGCATACTATCATCGACGTCGAGGTGACATAAGGCCCAGTGGAACTGTCGGGAGCAGTTCACGTCACGGAACCCCACATCGTCGAAGATGCGAAGAGCGGAACAGTGGAGGTTCTCGGGGTCATTCGGGTGAGCCGGTACGAAGAGGTCATGCGGAATCGGCTGCCCGTCGCGGAATTCCCAGAAATTCTCCGGGTCGTAGGGACCTTCTTCGGGCAGAGTTCCTTCCTTCCAATGCTTCCTGCGAGCAAAGTAACTACGGTCACGTGTTTGTCTCATTTACAGTGATGACGTGAATTCCTGCATCACCATGAAGCTCAGTCGTGCTTGACTCAACTCATGAAATGCATACAATTTTCCATATTGTGCCCTGTTATTCTTCAGGAATGATTTAATTATAAATGGGTTATGAAATAAAATATATAAACCAGGTGTTATTCAGTGGCGGCACATGATATGTAGAAATAGAAGCTCTTGAATTATAGGGAACATGTTCACTGTTCATCCTGCTTCCATTAGCTAGGTGCTACGCTATAGATGATGTGCCTCTACTATCATTTATTTCGTCCTGTCACTCTGAAAAACTGCTGCGTATTATTGTATATTAATGACATCTTATTTGGAGTGCTTATATAAAATACATGAAATCCTCACCCAACAAAATCACATTGGACAACAAAAGCGCCAAAATATTTCCTTTCGCTATTAAAAATATCATTGAAATAAAAATAAAATTTTTTCATTGAAATATTTCATTTGAAAAAATTTCAAAATCTTGTGCTCGGACGAGATATCTTACTGGGAGGAATTCGAAGAAATCACGCCTCATAACTGGCTGCTCACCATTAGCTTCGCCCGTACCAAAGGATTAAGCTACCCTCAACCATAAGACATTTTTAGAGCTGATGTTTCCTGGAACGAGAGAGTGAAACACTATTCATGAAACACAAAGTTTCTCCATTTTTAAATATGTCATGCGCAATTTCGAAGAAATATGTGAAAAATACTGCATAATTGAAACCATTTTGGAAGTTAGAAGTGTCAAAAATACTTTAGTACTTCCAAAGCTGGTCTACGGAGAACTGCTAGCCAGGGAAAGAACAAATTAGTTCAAACATCCTGCTTGTCTGATTCATGTTGTCTTTTGGTCTGATGTGCAAGACTCATTATGTTGAGATTCGTTTTAACTCACAAAATGCTGTAAGGAAGAGGAGCAAAGTCTTCGTTTACGAATCTCCGTATGGACGCAGCCAAAATGTCCGACTCATTCCTCTTTCTCAGTTCCGGCAAGCCTGCTCCATTGAAGTGCTCGTGGCAATACTCCTCTGCCGCGAAGTTCCCTTCGAAGGATCCTTCTCTCGGCTTCCCAAGCACAAAGCGCTTGTTCTCGACTTCGAAGTACGGATACACTGCAAACCAGATGTTAAGGCAGACTTAACCTTTATCCACACCCGCTGCAGTTTACACACTCGCAAAGATGAAACTACACTCGGTAACCTTCCATGCAAGGAGTGAATCCCATAGGATACCAGGTGAGATCCTCGCCGCAGTATAGGGGAAGCTGGAAGGATTCATTGTGGATGCAGTAGACCGTGGAGCCCACTAGGTAATAATCGGGGAAGGCGATGGCATTTTCGTCGCCTGGTGACTCGCATGCTAGGACAGAAAGCGACAAGATTCAAGTGAGAAATGAAGCGCTTCCGAAATTGGGGGAAATTATTGCTGGCTTGGAATTTTTCCTGCCCAAGTGACGGATGAAAAAAAAGCTACATTCTTATTGGACGATTTGGTGATTGAATTTCAAGTCTTAAGATCGTTCATGAAGTTTTTTTTTTAATTTCTTTTCTAAAAGTTGCCTAGGCTTCATTTTGCCTGGAGAAGAAAGAAACTTCATTCGGAAAAATGTATGTGCCAAATCCTGTAATTAGCTGAATTTTGCCTTCTTTCAACGTAACATGCCATAAAATTCCATATTTTAACACATTGAGGACGGCAGAAACAAATTTGTGATTCTTTCTGTGTACTATTTGGTTCTGAGATTTGCTTGTGTGGATAGTAGACATTTTCATGTTTCTTTTAGTATCTCTTTTTTGCCGTCAGCTGAGCTCTTATTTCTTTGTATTTATTTATAAAAATCTACGTTATGTGTAGGGTAGCGATCCTCAATGTATTTACGGGTTTAAATATTTTTCTTACATGGACAACTCAACTCAATATTGAAATATACATATTTCCTTTCCGTTATTAGTGGTTTCAATAATAATTATAGTACTTCTGATAGATAATCACTCCTGCAGCAGCTACTGAAAGACGTTAGATGCACTGGAAACATTCTCACTTATAGCTGGGAGCGGAGAGCAAGCGACGGACACATTCCCAGGTGCCCATTCCCCGTCATCGCGGCATGTCCACGTTAGTCGGGTATCCCCAGTGGAGAAATAGAAGTTCTCGAGCCCACATTCGTAGGAGAAGTTACCTGGGGGGTATGTGCCGTTGGGAGTGGTGCAAGTTGGTGCTTTAACCGCTCTGGTGTAGGGGTCCCCATCGCGGGGCAGGATCAGCGGGGGGCAGAATTCATCCGGATCAGCATGAAAAAACTGTATCATGTTTCCGAGTCGTCCAGAAGGAGTACCACATTGCTTTCAATGGGGAAAGTGAAATCTCCCGAGATTGAAACAAGCATTATTTCTCTATCTTGACCTGCTTGAGCTAGGGTTGCATATCCTACCATTATAGAAGTATAACTTGAAGCATATATATTTCAAACAACTGAAATTCTTCCGCTTCGGATTCATATTTAATGTGAGCCGAGAGTAAAAAAGGAGAACCAACGGATTATTGCAATTGAGGAAATTCAATAGAATATGGTTACACGTCGTAATTTGTTGCCTCACTTCTGGTCCGGAGATCCTCGAGTTTGTATTTCCACCCAAGAGATCCAAAGCATTGGGACGTTCGAAACGGAGCTTCAGGGTTGCTAGAAGAATTCCAAGTCTTCCAGCACGGACGGACGTAGGTGGCGTTGTCTCCCAATGAGAAATTCGTTTTTCCGTAGGTCTCTAGCTCCACGTAGGAGTCTGGGGGTTCCTGTGGCTGCGGGCAATCTGATGAGACCGGAAGGAATGCTGCTGGGTGTACCATGGTTACATCGCATAGCATGGAAGGCATTAAAAATGTTATTCTTGTCTGAAGTTTTTTTTTTGCAATACGATCACTGCCAACCGTTTGCCTCTATTTTAACCATATTTACTTAAAGACATTATAGATCTAGCTTCCAACCTCTCCAACTTCGGGCCAATATTAATAATTTACCAAATCGCCAGTAATCAGTAAGGAATTGAACGAATCATGTTTGCTGGTTAGGCGAAATACGCCATTCCGAGCTAAAAAAAAATGTCGGAGTAGCAGCAGGTGAGAAGGCCCCTTCCTTTTCCTTCATTGATCTGTCAAAATCCCTGTGAAGGTAATCATGTATATTATGCTGACTCAAAAACAATTGTAAGTGGTCGAGATAGGCAGAGTATCAATATTGAAAATCGGATAATCGGATAACCATGGTCACTATTATTGCCCGATTCCAAAAGACACATCGGGATTCGCGCTATAAGCTACTGCACCGCACGGACATCGCATTCCAGCGCTATTAGGTCGAATGCACATTTCCTTACTTTCACATGACACACCTTGTAACAACCAATTAATGGATGAATTGAAACGGAACCGGATAAGACGCTTCCTTGCCATCTCCTAAAGTCATGACTGAGAAGAAACACAAATATGTATATACACTTTAATTAATGTTTTCGGGAAATTCTGACTGTGGAATAAGAAACAGAGTTTCCGTCTAATGCGCGGAAAAGGGGATTCCGATTCATAGGGGAAACCATGAGCCATATTTTCAAAGGGCTACTAAGACTTAGTAGCTACTAATTCTCTGATAGACAATAGGGACTTAGCTAATAAGTCTTAGTAGCCCTTTGATAATATGAGCCATCGTCTCCTATTTTTTCGTGTAAACATGCTGTTCCGAAAAAAAACTTTGGAATCGATCTCTCCGACTGATACACGTATAAGAGCTTTCCTCTCCTTTTCACGAAAATTCCAATTCGTGGTCGGAATCATAGAGAGGCGACACTTCGAGGGGTTGGGTAGTGAGTGTGAAAACACTCACTCATATCTAGAAAATCCAAAATGAATTTTCTGGTAATGCAGTTTGGATTGTCTATGGCTATGGTAATCTATCATCTACAGCAGTTTCATATGTGCAATATCCGGTAAATCATAAGCATTTAGCATTTACTGCTGCTTTTTCACCAATCCTACTCAAAGTCTTCATTGCTCCACTTCCAATCGTCAAAAAGCGAAGAGTTAGAGAGTCGTTTCTGAATGTAGCATCACCAAGAAACTGTAAAAATCGCCGTATCCCAAGACAACTGGGAGGAACTCTCAAATAAATGGTGTTTACCTAAGATCGGTTCGTTCTCGTAGCAAAGGAATGCCGCCAACGGACGTCCGCATTCCACATAGTCTAATCCGATCCCGTTCCCATTGTTGATTTCATAGGCGAAGAGACAGTGCTGGTATATGCTGCCGTCCTTCAGCACACTAATGTGACACCATCCATCAATGGGAACTCCTACGATTCCTTCCCACAACCGCTTCACGGCATCCTCTGGCATCGTCTGAGCCTCACTGCATTCATTGTATAATAAGGAGCATGGTCGTCATCGGAAATGTCGCATGCCTTCGACTTGAGAAATCAGGAGGGAAAGTCAAACATGAAAAATTGGGAAGAGCTTGCCCTCCGAATGCTTGGAACTTGGATGTTGTTAAACGAAAAAATATCCTTTCTCTGAATTGAGGTTACCAAAAAAATTAATTTTCAAAAATCCTCCAGACAGTCTCATGTGAATCCAAGCATGTGGTTTCACGCAACTGCAGGTCTCCCCAATCATCTGTTTTTGTCCGAAGACTTCCAATATGACATGATGCCAGACTATTTTTTGAGGTAACATCACGTGTATCAAGAAAAACTTTACGGAAATTAGACGAGAAAGGCGGATAAATACAAATCGGCGATGAATGACTGGAGACGCACTTACCTGTTTGTGACGTTGGGAATGTGCCCTCCGAGTCCAACGTCATTCCCTGCAAGATTTTGTTGAATCAAAAAGGTTTTGATCCGAATCAATTCTTCCTTGGAGGAAGGGATGGCGAGGCTTCCATTGGCATTCACTTGGCAAATTCTTTCCGCTTCCCATAGTGGGACCTTCTCCTTTAATTGCACCAGCTTCAAGGTTGGACCTGAAATGCAAATTGCGATTGTCTTCATATCCTCTTTTTTGTTGGAATCCCAACTTTTCATGGGAAGTTCTTCAAATGCCCAGCAAAATAATAAGATATCACTGCTTCAAATCAGCTGTCGAAAGAAGTATAATCTATCTAGAGTCTAACAATTTTAGATTAAGCAGTGTCTTACCCCAAGCCGAAATCAGGCAATTTTATTGTAATTTGAGCACACTAACCGAAGCAATTGAGTTCAATTGCTGGAATCCATTTCTTGTTGTCACATAAGATTTCCACTTCCTTCGTACCGTTGGAGAATCGATACATGGGAGAAGTGCACCGGTATCGAAGAGTTACCCCAGGAAATCTTGGTGGGGGAGGAGGGATGGAGCTCGGAAAATAGCATTCGGCGTAGAAAGTATCCGCTCCCACGAGCTCCACGCTGCTGCCATTTTGGGGATTCGGGCACATTAATGTTGTTGGTATCGGAATGCAGTTCAGTGTCGGCAATTCGTCCTTGTGGATGGTCCAGCCCAGAGATCCTTTGCATTCGGATTGGATGCCGCTTGAGTTCGTTCTGTTCCACCAGTAGCCACAGGGGCAGACATAGGTTACCTTGGCTCCCAAGGGAAATCTAGCTGCTCCTTTACCCTTCAGAGTGACTGTAGCATTTGGATGTTCAGGTGGGTCGCCGCAGTCTGCAATACATGCAGATTTCTTATAAATATTGGCCGATAAATCCATGATGATCATGCGAGAATTTGAACGTTCTGGAAGAAAGACATGTCGATAGCTCTGCAACTTTTTGAATTTGATGCATTTCCATATTTAGGGATACTCGGGATATAAGGAATGGGAAAACAGAGGAATAAGCATACAGGAACTTAGCGATTGATCGCGGTGATGAGGGAATAATGTTAAAAACGCCATCCATGCTTCCTTTACACATCATTCGCCAAATTTTGTTTCATTGAAAATACAAGGAATATTTGAAAACTACTAGACATTACATTGGCCTTAGTCGTGAGGGCGAGTCAAACAAGTATTTTTTTTTAAATACGAGATATATCAAGTAAATCAGTTCACAAAGAAGGATGCTGTTGTGTGAGGAGGCCTGAATGTGTTCACCAAAAGAAGGTTTGTAGGAGGTCGAACACAAACACATTCGCTCCGAGGGTGTGGAAAGAAGATGCAAGTATTTTATTCAGCATTGGGACCATATAGAAACCTGCATGAATATAGTGGATTTCAAGTTCATATTGAACTTGAACTTAACTGAAATGATTGAAACTGCGCACTGACCAATGAAAGATTTTGCGGGCTGAGACCTTTCGGTTCTGGTTACGACATGAAAAGAGATTGAAGGAAATTTGACGTTTTGAATGAAACAAATTCTTCAGTCGATGCTCACCTGGGACGCTGGAATTCAGCTTGCAGAGGAAATTTTTTACATGAGAGGAATCATTGCAAGCCGTGTCGACCAATAAGGTGGGAGGTGGATAATTGCTGGTGGGGTTGTTGGTGGGGAATAGTAGCATACAAGCTTCCAAGCCCAAGTTATTTGCATTGAGGCCATTGGGTTCTCCTTCTTTCCAGGCGTTATTCGGAACGCCTGCATCCTTCTCCCATCTCTCTCGCAATTTGTCTGTACCTAGTACGCTCCCCATTCCGCTAGCGCAAAGGATAAGAAAGACATTACATTTTCCGTCAAGACAAGGGCGATTTCACATGACTTAGGCGAACGAAAGAAATCCACATTCATTCTTCTTGTCTTCGATCTCTCCCGTTTGCCCTTTGAGAAAATGAATGTCTCGTAATGGCATTCATCTCAAGGAAATTATACGGTTCAAAACATCAAGATGAAATCCTACCACCCTGTATTACGATTCAGGGACGCTGTAGGTCCTTTTAGGCGTCTGGTGTCGATAACAGAAAGGTTCCATTTGATGGGTTATTTAGCTTCACCCTTGACTATGGCCTAAGGCCTCTATGCCATAGGTTTTGAGACTCAGCATCGGTATTCTTCAAAATGAACCCTCTACCTTTCACTTGCTTTAGTAGTCAGACCAATGTATTTCCATTAAATTATTTCAATTACTTCCTGACCTATTTCCTTTCAACTGAGGCCCTTCCTTCTGGGAAAATATGTACATCTTCCTCCGTCATTACGCTGCGGATTCCAAACTTCTTCAGAAGACAGGAATTGGAAAAAGTAAGATGAAAATGTAAAGCTCCCTCTTTCTACTTTATTGTTCCGGAGGGGGAATTGGAGACGGACGATGGAAGGCATGAGAGGCCGAAAGAAAGCCTGGGAACGGCAGGGACTTGAACCCGGGCCTCCTGATTGCCGTTCAGGTGTGCTACCATTACACCACCGTACCCGGGATATTCAGTCGTGCCCCTCGATGCCATCCTTATCCGTCACATTATTTTGGGTTGGTTCCACTGAGATGAGCTAATTATGATCTTTTCTGGCTCCCCTATAACTGAGCCCTTCCCTATTTCATCTCAAAACTTATTCGGACATAGACGTTTTTCACAGTTGAGAAAAAGTTGAGGGTGTCCTTTAAATGTATACTCTAATTTATGCATAAATATGAGGAAATTAAGCTGCGAAGATGTTTAGATTTTCTGTCAAACTCCTAGCAGGCATGAAAACAATACTCCAAATTCACAGTGACTCAATTCGAATGTGAATCTCAATCAACGAATAATGAGTATAATGTATTTGCTCTATTCGTTGGTTGTAAAATAAAGAACAAGGTGTCAGGTGGCAAGGCTGTATGATTAATGAGAGGATAGGGCATGTGATGATGGAAATCAAGCTGCTATGCCTCACTTCCTCGCCACCAATGGAACCCCATATTCCTCGTCAAGAAATATACAATCAACCCTGAATGTAATGCAAGTGCTGATCATCGTCGATTTTTTAATTAACCACAGTCCAATTATAAGCTTATGGGAGATTTATCTGCAGGAAGAGGTTGGCGATAGCAGAGGGTGGCGCTATACCCATATTGGTATATCGCTATATCAGGTGTAAATCAGACTAGAAACATGGTGTGTGCCAGCAACATTGTGGCGAACGCAAGCTTTTCTCTGGTATTGATTATTATTACTTGTGGAAATATGGCATTCTATTATACCGAATTTTGCTACGAAATGTATGGGAGGTCTAATTAAAGACATTACTGCCTAGAGCACCTCTAAGCTACAGCAGAGGCCATTGCAAGGGGCAGCTGCCCTGTGGTATTCGGGATTCTGCAAAGCATGGAGACATGTCAAGGAATTTGCGGGTCTTCTGGGAAAGGCCTGTGATCAATTGAGCCCTGTTTTTTTTTCTTATCCTCCAGCTTCTGAAGTTGAATGAAAAATATGAAACCGAAAAATAAGAGAAATAGACCAATTACCAATCTGGGGTATTGCGGTTGTGGTGGCCCGAGACACCAACTTCGCGGCGACAATCCTGGAAGCGGCTCAAACATTGTTGACTTTGAGACGGGCAATCGTCTACAGCGGTATAACCATATCGCAAATGCACATGAACACATTTTTTGGATAATTGAAATATCGCAAAAGATCGAGTTATGAAATTCGGTCAACCCGCGTGACCTTTTCTGGCAGATCGTATCCTAAATACAACCATTCAATGCTGTGAAAGCGAAATGGATTTACTAGCGATCACGCTGCTACGAGACACGAGACAATATCATGGATAAAAACGGATTACTTTGAAGGAATGAGATAAGAGATCTAGCCCAATTCAACTAGGATCATACTCATAGACGGAGGAGATGTGGCCACCCAGTGCAGTTCCCGATTTGGTCCAGAGCGACGAGACATAGTTCGTCATATTCGCCCAATAATTCCCCTTGAAGTCGTCTGGGACGGCGAGACTTCCGTTGAGGGCATCCGCGCAGATTCTCTCGCCGTTCCACAATGTCGTGTCGTTCTCGATCAGGACGAAGACGGTCCCCTGTGGTGTCAAGGTCAGTCTCGGAGGGGACCCCGTCGTCCCTGCTGAGATTATATGTTTTTTTTATCGTTCTAGTCGAGTTACTACTCGCTCTTGGCCAAGATGTTGATTTTTTAGGAAACCCACATTTTCAGGAATAAATTGTGAAGGATACGACAAAGAATAGGAGCTTGGGTAGTTCGCAACGAAACAAAAAGATCAAGCAGGCAGTACTTGCAGACATTCCATTCGTTTTTCGCATCCTTCCTTCGAGAAACTGTTTGAAACATGATTTATTTTGGTTTTTTTTCCTTACGTTCATCCATTTACGAGTACATACGAAGCTAATCTGTCATTCCGGCATTCCGAGAAACTCCTCCTAGACGGATGAACGTATTTTAATAATTGAGGTGTCAATCGAAAGCTCATGACCTGGAGGCGATGCTTATTGGGTCAAAAGTTCAAAAAGTCAGTTGCGGACGTTGTTGCTGTGCGTCCTCTTGTCTGTCTCCACGTCGGAGGCCTACATGGGTCGACTTTATCGAGTTGAAACCCGATCGGCCCGATTCGAATCGTTGCCCGCACCCGACCATTGAGTTAAGAAAAAGAACTTGAGATGGCGCACAATGCAATGGATTTGCTGCAATTGGAAGCCATCTTTGTTGGGTCCATGGTGGCTCTTCTCCATTCACTACAATGGGATTTTCATAATTTCCCATCCCAATTTTCTTGCAGATGTAAACATGCTGGCAGGCATTCATGGTACTGGAGGCCTAATAATTCTGGTGGAGTATCATAGGGCTGATAACGTCATGTCGGAACTCTTCTTTCATGTGGGCGAGTCTCCAATTCCTCGAGTGGGCCTCTGAGTTACAGGCCTGCCTTTGCTGAGATAGCTGAGCCTACGAAGGCGATAACGTTACGCCGTCTTTGCATCATCACAGTCGATATATTTTACAGATCTAAGGCATAAAGTTAAACTAACTTCGAGTGAACGTTCTAAGGTAAACATAGGCTAAAGGAGACGAAGGGTGACCACAGGTGCATGGCAAAGGTATTGGCGGGTATTGACAGGGCATGCTTCCATATTCAGAAGGGCTGCTCCAATGTTTCCGCGGTACCAGATCCATCACTCCGCCAATGCGCACTGCAGGCCCGCTTTAGCCTGATCCCACCCAATATAGCTTCAAAATGCAGCCGTTTTCCCTATACTACTCCTATGGTCGCGTCATCTTCAGTTCTTTTTCTTAGCTCAGTGCACTCCATCCGGAACTCGATCGTTGACCGAGCTTTTCTGCTTCTAGACGCGAATCGTGTTGGCCGATCTGGCCCGTAACCCGCTAAGGCCTCTACGCTCGAGAACTGTAGGTATTTGCCCCTAGGGGTGTTTGAGAGACCCATTCGCAAATCTACGAAGAAACGCATTCTCGGGTGGAACGGCTCGGAATAAAAGGCATGCTGTGTAAGAAGACAGGGAGGTAAAGTGTGCACTGAAAACACTGAAAACCGTGCAAGACAGAGATATCGTGAAATCAGAAACTTATGAAAATACCCTACACATCGATTAAAACAACTTTGTCTTGGGAATGGGTTGTGTGAATTCGATGTCCGGCCATCTCTCAATCATATACATATACATAATACAAAAGAAGCTAATCTGTCCGTGTCGGTGTGTCATTCGGGAAACTCCTCCAAGATAGATGAACGGATTTTCATGAGAGAGATATCAATCGAAAGCTCATGACCTGGAGACGATTCTTATCGGATCAAAAATCCAAAAAACCTATCGAATTTCACGTAATAAAGCCAAATTTCTGCGATGAGAATAGCATCGTACCGAACGCCTTCCCGGGAGAAGTGCTCACACACATCATGGTCTGCACTCGATCGGAAACTCGATTGCCGATCGACCTGCACGCCTGATGCACGGGCCAGATCGATTCTATTGAGCCAATCCGCATCCTGGCCGAGCTCAAAATTCTCGGTTGCACTACACGGGCGTTCGAAATTAATAACGACGGCTCTCAATATACTGTAAGGCTCGCTGAAATT